GGCTAAAGAGTTATAAATAGGACCAGTAGCTTGAAATTGCTTCAGTTATATTTGTTATCTCTGCTAACCACTGCGGAGGTCAGGCAGCTTCCACAGCTGCTTTGAGACAATGAATCATCTCATGTGGATTACCAGACTTGGGAGGTTCCAGGTGCTCAGAAAATCTCAGTGCATTCTACAACTGGATTTGGACATCTCTGCATACTTTGCATAACAGTTTTGCAACATTTCTGTCTGGATCTCTCAACATATTCCCAAATTGATTGTCATCCTACTACAATTTTTAACAAATGTTTTGGGGGTTTTCCCCCCCCCCCGGATTTTAGGACTCTAGCTTCTCCCTTCTTTAGGTTGTGCATTACTCACATAGATAGCTCGGGAAAAGTAAAAAAAATCTTCATACTTAGAGTACTGTCATTTTCAAGTTATAAACCATGACATTATTGATTCCTTCTCTACCGATGCTTGGCCAAACTTGAGTCAGAATGAGTCAACAATGAGAGTCCTATCATAAGCTACAAAATGTCTCTTATCCATTTGACTTTTAGGGGAGGTGCAGCCCATGTAATATTTTGCTGTGGACTCCATCCCACTTAAGGGGATTGAATCCCTTATTCACCGAAGTCCATTAATTCATGGTTCAATAAACTAACATATTAGATTACGCATGTATATTTTGTCCTTTCGTCATTTCATCGTCTATCCTACATATTGTCTTTTACATTGTCTTACATTTCTAGAATTTATGCATGCGATTTAAGTGTTCTATGTTCTGCAATATTCAAGTCATACAGCACAGAATCCATCCCATAGGTGAAACACATTTTTAGGTAGGAAATCGTGGTGCAGTTCTCAAGAGAATACAGAAGATGGCAGCAAAACACTCAGATAAACCAGCAAAGTGTCACATAGCTCTTTTAAAGAAGGAGGTACAAGGAGAGACTACAAGGGGCTCAAAAGCAGGTTTTAAAGCACATACTGCATCTCAACCAAGGAAAGGAAGCTTATATATAAGACGGGATTTTTTATATTAAAAAAAAAAAACTGTAAAAAAAACTATTTTATTTACTTTATTTTATTAGAAGGACTATCATCACCTGTGGAAGATAAACATGTTTTTTTATTTTTCACAAAGCACAGGTAATACTGAATTATTTATTTAACCTGATTATGTATCACACGTAGAGCAGATCTTGTATTGCACTCTGGTAAACATTCTAATTTATTTTAAAACTGGAGAATTTGTTTTCGCAATGCTGAGAGAAAAATGTAATGAAATAGACATTCTTTCCTAATCAAATGTTTGATTATCTGAAATACCTTTTTAAGCTAAAGTCGTCATGATTTACTACTGCACTAAGCCTGACCTATTTCATCTTAAATAGTTTTTTTTTTCTTGAGCCATTTTAGAGTTAATGTATTTTTTATTTGTTTTTTCCTTTCTATATATTGACTCTGGAGAATAATTAAATGGGGCTGTAATTGTGGATGGACGGATGGATTTTTAGCTATTTGTTTTGTATTATGTGTATGTATATCTATACACACATACACACACACACACACCACACATAAAATAATATAATAATACATATACGGACACACACATTGTAAAAATGCACATACAAAACTATATTTTAGAAATACAGCCCTGTGGTAATAATTATACTCTATCATTAGATTTGTATCTATGTTTTTGTTAAATCATGCAAAGAGAAATTAATGTCCTAACTCTGCACTTTGTAAAACAGTGAATAGATCTTTGTTTATTTGTTGTATTGGAAAAAGGTGGAGAATTCACAACTGAGCAATTGGACTCTAGCTTAGAGCAAAAAAAGAATTGTATTGACACAAATTGCTTTCTGTGAGGGAATCCTGATTCACGTGTTCCTCTATGAAATTGAATCTCTTGATATTCCCCTAACATGTGTAATGTGATTGTAAAATAAGGAACAGGTTCTCTGTATCTGGGCTGTGAAAATCCCTGGATAATAAATAAGTTGGAGTAGAAAAAGAAGTAGTTTGTTGTTTAGCATCTTGCACTCAAATTTGCTGTTCTTGTGCTGTTTAACTATGTTGTTTCCATAGAAGAATTGTATAGCAAGATCAGAGAAGAGAATCATTTAAAGAAACCATAGTATGTTCTGGGAGAGGGTGGATTGGTGTATGTGCTGATCAGTAGGACAATTGAGTATAAGGTTTTACTTTTACAATATATATGGAAATGAGAGTCAAAAGGTTCTAGAACATACATACAAGCAATTGCTAAGGCAATAAACATGCCTTTTACCAAATCATGTCAGCATTATGCCCAGACACTGTCTGCAGGGCTTTTACTGTGGATAACTCATTTTCAATGTGCAATTAATTTAGCTTAAAACAATTGGGCCATGCAAGCAAAGGTTACATTTGAATGGAATGAAAATGATATTGTTTCTCTCTGTAGCTGTTCAAAATATTTAGCTGCAAGAAAGCTTATTATTTTATGCTCATGCTGTATGTATATTTTATAGCATGTTGAAGTTCTGAAATCACATTTTTCCCCATGTATTTTGAATAAGATGTATCTCACGGCAGTGGTTATGTCTCTCCTGGGGTTTATTGATGTACTAGAAAAACCAATGTTATTTAATATTAAATTAGAGTAATATCCTTTGGCGTTTGTCACTCAAATAACTCAAGAGTGAAAAAAAACTACAAAAGGTATTTGTTGGACTATATTTCCCCATCTCTGCCTGCCATTGATCTGATGCCTGATAATAGCTGGACGAGCAAACGATGGACTGCCTGTCTACAACGAGGGTGGTTAGAAGATAGATCCCCAATCTTGAGGCTTGCAAAGCATCATGGGAGTTGTAGTTCCAAAGTGGATACGATCTATCCTTTGGACACCCCTGTTCTACAGTATTGATCAGAGTGGCATTTTTTAGCTTTGTGCTCTTGAAAGACTCTTTACATCTAAACCATAAAGAGTTCCATTAAGGTAATAATCATAGGATATTTAAGAAAAACGTACATTTTCACCTTACTGCTCTCTTTAGCGGATTCCGACTTGCAATACAGATTATTTGAGAAAACAAATGTCCTATTATTCTCTCTTGTAAGTAGAAAAAGTTACTCATCACCCCCTCCCTGATGCTTTAACTTAAGATGAGACTATATTCTTGTACTGTAGAGAACACAGGTATTGTGTTGCTATGCAGAGAATGAAACACTTTGTTTTATAGCAGGTTGTGTATTGTAGTCTTTTATTCACAAAGCACTTACAGTTGCCAATAGCAAACTAATTCTTTTTTTTCTCCAAAATACAGTTTGCTTTACACTGTGCAATCATTTTTTTTTCTTTAGATATCCATTTAGTATGATTGTACAAATTCCCTTGTGAATTAACGCTGTTCAAAACATGTTCTGTGTTCACTGAGCTAGAAATTGTTCTGGTCTACAAACATCAAAGAATATTTCAATTGCTAAAGGGGTGCCGAGAACAAAAGGTTAATTAACAACTTAAAATAAGAATAAATTATTAGGATTTCCATTCAATACAGTGTAACAAGATTATATCTTGTATTTTTCATATAAAATTGTCATAGATTAAAACTCTGTCCTGTGTCTTTAAGCAAAAGAGTTAATTAAATAACTAATTAAAGTTTGTCCATCCAAATTCCATCAATCAGTCATAACTTGTATCACTTCTTATCAGAATTTAGATTTTACAGGTTGATAGAGGTTGGGATGTTTTTTTGAATTCCTAAAGGACCAAACTTCTGGAATAAAAGGGAATCATGACATGTCACACATGTCATGTGTCCTTAAGGGATTAAACGTGCTTATGTCTCCACCTATACTTTGATGCAAGAATATTATTATATTAGCCTTTATATTAGTTTAATTAGACATTTACAGATATTTTTTTACTCTTTTTTTTTTATTTTTCCAAATAATAAAGGAAACAGGAAGAAAAAAGGGGAAGGGGACATCCAAACGGGATCATTTATCTCTATAGATATCTTCACTATTGTAACATATACTTCATCATTTTATATGGTCAAAATTCCCAAAACGTAACCTATCTTATATAGCTTGTGTGTCTTAAAATATATAAAGTAAATTACAATGGTAATTGATACACACATTCAAAAATACCTCTTTAACTAACCCACATATTGCCTCCTTTGCTTTAACCAGTGATAAAAGCAGTTGTCACTCCAAAGGGTATCACTGTACCAACAATGCCTAGATACGAGGGACACATATTTCCTAGTTTGGTTACCCATGGATTCTAATTATCTTGAACTACTAAAAGCTATACCATTATTCAAGATAATGATCTTGTACTTTATCTAAACCTCGTTAATGATGAAAAAAAATTTTTTTTAAATGTACAGATATTAATAAAAACTGATTGAATACCATCAATTATTTTTTGTAAAAATATTTTTATAAAGAAGTAACTACATATTTAAAAAAAAAAATGACTGCAGTAAATTAACTGTCACCTTTTAATATTGTGGCCAAAAAGAGTCAAATTGGAAAGAATTTCAATTTTCATTTTATCTGTGATATTTTCCCCACTATACTATTGCTCTACATTTTGTAGGGCAATAATCAACTTGTCACATCTCTCTATTTAGGCATCACTTAATAGACATCGCTTATTTTAAATCTATAAAAAAAAAGTCTTAAATGCATGAGAATGTGGATTTAGACAACGGACCTCGGAATACAATGTAAACTGAACTTTTAACCCCTTAAGGGCACATGACATGTGTGACATGTCATGATTCCCTTTTATTCCAGAAGTTTGGTCCTTAAGGGGTTAAAGAACGAAGCAAAGCACGCACATTATTGCATCTTGATATGTAACCATTCCTTCTCCTAGTCTGATGATATAAAACTTACTGTTGGTACACATTCAGAATTTTATGAATCTCAATGCATTTTCACACTTAGAGATGTTTCGTAATGGGTATTAAAAAGAGGAACTTTTTTTGTATTTCTTGCAGCACAATCGTGGGTCAGGCAATGTTTGTTTTCCAAGCTCACATGATGGAAAATGAAGAAATGGTTTGGTATATAAAGAGTCCCTTCCTCCACTTTGACTCTGATGTCAAGAAGTGACTAAGAGCAATATTTATTCCAATCACAGCTTTCAGCAAGTTCAGTCATGGTGGATAACAACGCAACTCCCTTGGCTGGTCAGAATGAAGAGTTTGACTATCCCAACTCCTTTAACTATAATTACAGTGATTACGTGGCTAATGAAGATGAAGACGTGACAAAGACAAGGACTTTTTATGCTGCAAAGATAGTGATTGGGGTGGCTCTTATCTGCATCATGCTGATATGTGGCATTGGGAACATTATCTTCATTGCTGCACTTGCACGCTATAAAAAATTGAGAAATTTAACCAATTTGCTTATCGCCAATCTGGCCATTTCGGATTTTATTGTAGCTATTGTGTGCTGTCCCTTCGAAATGGACTATTATGTCGTGAAACAGTTATCGTGGGAGCACGGACATATCTTGTGTGCCTCAGTAAATTATTTAAGAACGGTTTCTTTGTATGTGTCAACAAATGCTCTTCTAGCAATAGCTGTGGACAGGTAAGACTCAATTTTATGAATCCCATGGGTGGTTGAGATTAGTTTGTCAGGAACTAAATGATGAACGTGGACCTCAAAGCAGGCTATGAGACTGTTTTAATTTATTGAATACTAGTGTTTGAGGTCTAGAGAAAAATATGAGAACCATAATTTTCTAGGTAAAATAAAATATCGTAATAGAATGAAGAAAGACAAAGTTGCAACAGAATAAGGTCCTTGTTTTAATACCAAAAATAGTTTCAATAGCATACACTATAGGTTATATGACATTGACGGCATCAAATGCAGAATCAGTGATTTGAATACTGAATACTATAGTTTGCATAGAATGCAGTGTTAGTGATATAATGCTAAATATCGCATTTTCCATGTTTTACTAATTATTTTCCGCAGTTTCCATATAATACATTGACCAATGTTATCTTAGTTTGCATAGAATGTGTCAATAAATACAATCAAAATATAAAGTATTTAATTAGTAATGTCACCTTTACCTTGTTTGTCATGGTTTCCATATCACAGTGTCAGTGATTTTACACCAAATATAATAGGTTCCATGTGTTACAGTGTCTGTGATAGAATACAGAATATGTTAGTACCCACAGGATGTGAGTGTCAGTGAACTGAAACAGAATATTATTGCTGAGATAATACTGAATATCATAGTAGGATGCTGTGTCGTTGATGTAAACTGAATATGATGTCTTCTACAAAATGATATGTCAGTGATGTTATACCAAATATTAACTATTTCATTGATGAATAGGCAGCCATAGTGCATTGAAAATCATAATTTCTTTAGGTTACAGTGTCAGTGATTATAAATCTAAATATTGTATTTTCCTCAACATGCAGTGTCAGTGATATAAATCTGGACATTATCATTTTGATATCATATTTTACCTAGGAAGGTGGAATAAAAAAAATTATTAAAATTTATTAAAATGATTACAAGCACTAAAAAATGTCTCAAGAATAGTTTAATGCTTGCATTAATGAATAAAACAGCAGTTTTAGGATACATTGCAGAATATTGTAGAATATTTAATGAATATAGAATCAATGCATATTCAGAAACTCATAATATTGGATGTAGTAACCTGTTTCATGCTCCTATCCAGCTGTGCTTATGGTTTTACTGGTATCCCGCATTCTGGGACATCATGGAATACTCCCCAGCAAAAGCCAGGCTAGCCCACCAATAGATATGCTCGAATCATTCTGAATAGTGTCAGTGTAATGCAACTATCCACAGAACACTTCATCACTGCTTTCTGCATGGTCTGCCCAGAGTGTGGCAGACTTGCACCATTTTCCATAGGGAAAGCATTGGATTGGCTGATATCGGCAAGGAGGCGAATCAATGCATCTCTACAAGGGAATTTTAGCATCTCCATGCAGAGCGTTGAGATGCTGAATGGCAGTGCTGCCTACTGTGCAGCACTGCCAGGAAGCTCCAGTCTCTGAAAAGGCAGTGTTTGCATGAAAATGCCTGAAGGTAATGATAATACTCACCAGGACAACTACATTAAGCTGTAGTTGTTCTGGTGACTATAGAGTCCCTTTAAAATGATTGATAGGTGAAGTGAATAACATTGATTATATCGTTACAATGGAACCTGTCAAGGGGTGGGATATATTAGGCATCAAGCGAACAGTCAGTTCTTTAATTTCATGTGTTGGAAGCAGGATAAATGGGCAAGCAAACAGACATGTATGACTTTCACAAGGGACAAATAGTGGTGGCTATGTGACTAGTTCAGAGCATATCCAAAACAACAAGACTTGGGAGGTGTTCCTGGTATGCTGTGGCTAGTACCTATCAAAAGTGGTGCAAGGAAGGACAACTGGTGAACAGGCGTCAGGATCATTGATGCCCAATATTCATTGATACATGTGGGGAGCAAATGCTGGCCAGTCTAGTCCGATCCCATAGAAGAGCTAAAGTAGCCCAAATTGCTAAAAAATTTAATGCTGGCCATATTGAAAGGTGTCAAAACAGTGTATCACAGTTTTGCTGCATGTGGGGTTGCATAGCCAGACAGGTCAGAGTGCCCATGAGGACTCCTGTCCACCGCCAAAATCACCTTCAATAGGGAAGTGAGTGTCTGAACTGGACCATGGAGAAATGAAAAAAGGTTGCCTGGTCTGGTGAATCACATTTTCTTTTAGATCAAGTGGGTGACAGGGCATGTGCGTCATTTACCTTGGGAAGAGATGGCAGCAGGATGCACTATGGGAAGAAGGCAGTCTGGCAGTGTTATCCACTGGGCAATGTTCTGCTGGAAACCTTGTGTCATGGCCTTTATGTGGATGTTACTTTGACACATACCACATGAACTCCTTCATGACAATGATGTTCCCTAAAGGCTAAGGTCTCTTTCAGCAGGATAATAAACCCTGACACACTACAAAAGGGTTCAGAAATGGTATGAGGAACATGACAAAGGTGTTGCCTTGGCCTTCAAGTTTCCCAGATCTCATATGTGGTGTGTGCTGGAACAACAAATGCAGTCCATGGAGGCCCCACCTCACAACTTTCAAGTCTTAAGGGATCTGCTGCTATTGTCTTGGTTCTAGATACCACAGGACTCGTTCAGAGGTCTTGTGGAGTCCATTCCTCAATGCACCAATGCTGTTTTGGCAGCACGAGGTGGACCTACATGACATTAGGCAGGTTTTAATGTTGTGGCTGATCAGTGTAATATCATAGCAATAATTGATTTGATCAGCAGAATCCGCATGCAGCAGGTTTTATAGGCTACTGAGCAACATGCAGGTTCTAGAACTACTTGTACATTTGGTCTTGCTCACTTTCGGTTCTGATTATGTTACTACTGTTAGCTACCACAGCAAATATGCAGGGTGTTACTTTTGGGATAATAGGTTGCACTAGGAGCTCAGAATGTATTAAGGGGTTTGTTTATTAACAGTTCTTAAAATAGCTATAGCCAGCAGGTCACAGTTAGGAATGAACTGAGGTTCTAGGATGAGGAGACACTGGAATGAAAGGCTGGAGCATAATTCTCAGACTGTTTTTCCCTGGAATGTAGCATGTTAGTCAATGATCTTGGTGTAAAGAATCCTAATGCCTCCCCAGTGTTTCTCCATACGGAAAGTCATCTGTCTATGACATAAGTTCCAATGGAAGAGTTGCTCCCTCGTGTATCTTGCTGGGAGGTTAATACGTATTCTAAGGCCAGTTCATCCAAAGGTTACTGGCAGAAATTGAATGCTTCTCTCTGGTTGATGAACTTGACCTATTCTGACTATACAGTTTATATTGGGAACACTGTCAGATGTTTTGTTTTTTAGTGTTTTATTGCTATTAGTCTTGAGAACTGATACTTTTTCTTGGAGACTATTAGAAAGCATCAAGAAAGCTTTCAAGGCTGGTTCAAGATAGCTAACACCAGCAAGATTAGCTTAATTTGATAATTGTTTTTGCTATTCTGAATTATTAGTAAATGGCACATGTGGACTGGCTTGGAGCACAAAATATAAAAGTCAGACTTTAGTGCATAAACTGAGAATGTTTGTTTTCTACAAAAATTGGTGTCGGTAATCCAACAGGAAGGAACACAGTTCCACCTGTGAATGTAGTAGAAATGTACTGGATACCACAATCACCACATAACCCAGGTGCTCTGAAGTCACTGCTGGCCAGGCCTCCCTTCCAAGATATGCAGAATAAATAACAGTTCATGCACTCTGGGATAACAGAAATAGCAGCTTTGTTTGATAAAGACCCGTTAGGGTCGAAACGCTGCTGCTTTTGCATCAATAAAGCTGCTATTTCTATTCTATTCAGCTGTGTATGTAGTGGCGTAAATCAAGTTTTACAGTGATATTAAAATTGTCTGCATACATACACATTATATTACAAAATGCTCTGCACTCTTGCTCCAACTTAAGTCTACTGCCCGGTGCTCAATATTGTCATATCCATATACAAACCTAAAAAGATTTTTCTGACACTATCAGCTTTTTAAAAATGTTTCCAGTGCTTTATTTCCCCAAAATAATTAACATTTTAGTTAGTAGATTACAACTTTGCAGGGGACAATGAAAAATGTAATAAACATCTATGTGCTTTCATAGAAAGGAGAAAAAAAACTTACCAACACAGTGTTTATTGCCACCAGCATATCCGTGCTCGCTATGCGCATGTGTGTGGGTAACCAAGCCCCTCGTGTAACGTGAGGACATGTCGGAATGTGTAATGACGTACAGGGATACCTGTTTCCAGCCTGGCACAACACCAATCACAACTCTATGTGTGAAACAGATAAAGAATAGGAAAGTGCAATGTGCATAATGATATGCCAATAGTGTTAAAATAGAAGAAAATATATTTATTGCCCAGTCTTAATTTTTGAAAAATTATATATAAATATTTTATAAATAAATAAATTTAAAAAAATTAAAATATATCTATATATATATAATTATATTTATTTATTTATAAAATATGTACATTGAATTAAGTAAAGTAAATTGGATTTAATCAAAACATAAATAAATAATGTAACAATGCAATGTTTTGTGGACCCAGGACATACTTAAAAACAAGAGAAATCTCAATGTATCCATCCTGGTAAAATATTTTATAAATAAATAAATATAATTTTATATATATATATATTTATAAAATCTATATTTTATCAGGACGGATACATTGAGATTTCTCTTGTTTTTAAGTATGTCCTGGGTCCACAAAACATTGCATTGATACAATATTTATTTATGTTTTGATTAAATCCAATTTAGTTTACTTAATTCAATGTACATATTTAGTTACATAGTTACATAGGCTGAAAAGAGACATGTGTCCATCAAGTTCAGCCTTCCTCGTTGTTTAATAATTGCTGCTGTTATTATTAATATCATTTATACACAGAATTTAATCTTCGGAATTTATTTCACATTTGAAAGTATCCTGGAGCAAAGCTAGGAAGCATTATTATTGAATTATTCTACACAGAATTGCACATTGTATTAATAAAAATGAATAGAGAGTTGGAATTCTATTAACCATTGGCTAGTGGAGCGTTCTTTCCATATATATATATATATATATATACATATATTGTTAATCTATCACTCCAGGCAAAATATATTGATTATATTCCAATATATTGCATAACATTCTATAAAGAAAAAAAATAACTGCATTGAATGTTTATGATACACATAGTTATAAATCAGTAAGATTTTCAATCAAAAAAGATTTAACTTTTTGAAAATATGTATAAAGCTGCAAGCACAGTGCTAATTTATAGACTCTAGAACAGGGTGGTTTAGAAAAGCTATACATTTTTTTTAAAGCTACCATGCTCTGAGCCTCTGACTACTACTACAGTGAAAAAATAAATTGTAACCATCAGGACAATAAAGATTCAGAATTCCCACAATTGGAAGTCATTTCAAGGTTATGTATGTCTTTCTTTGCATAAAGTACAGCAACAGGTGGTTGATGAAAGGTTGGATATGATAGACATAATTTTGTCAGGAATACAGTGTGATCCAGCACGTAGAATTGTGTTACACAGGTGACTAATAGGTAATGTATTACCAGGCCTTAGAATAGCTGGACTAACGTACCACAGAATAGTCAGGATAATAGCCGAGGTCAGGGGACACAGAAAGAGACACAACGATAAAGGAAAGCCAGAGGTCAGGGATACCAGAATACAGGGAAGTCAGAATCAAAGCCAAAGTAAAAAAACAGAATAAACTTGAATATTTAACGTGCTCTCGGACAACCACTAGGGAAACCACAACAGTCACGTGAGCGGGCGTAGGGGTATAATTAGCCGTGGAACCGCAGCGGCCGGCATCCATTAACATGCCGCAAGTGTTAGTCATGCAGTTGCACGGCCACTGGCCGCAAGGTAAGGAAGAATATGTTACAAATTTAGCCCATACTGCTTTACTCGTATAGTTCTGGACAGTGGGAATTCTCATGCATTTAGTGATCAACAAGTGATTTTATCTTGGAATGCCATGACTTTCCTCAAAGCACAGATGAACCTATAATTCAGTAAATATTTTATTAAATGGATAAGAATTACAAATGGAGCATTAAGGTTTCTCTATATAATTAAGAGGAAAGCAAACAGTTTGTAAGAAAGTGGCAATTAGATTTGTGTTAAGAGAATTCCAAATTGTCTTTTGTATATTTTAATTTATGAATAAAAAAATTAAAGAGTCAAGACATATTGGAATAAATAGCTTTAAAAATGACCTCCTTATGTCTGCTGCTTGTTTGATATATCACATATATGATTTATATATTTCAAATTATTACAGATGATTTGTAATTATGCTTTGATATACTCATTGCAATGTCATAGCAAACAGTTTACATTTTTAAGAATTTTTTTTTTTTTTTTTTTTTTAAGCAAAGAATAGATTTTCTGGCATACATTTCCTAACAAGAATGTTAATATATTGGAGCAGTTGACTTCAATGTCAGCCATAAAATTTTCTCAAAAAGAACACACAATTAGGCAACTAGTGGCTGAGAAATGTGCATTAAGTTTCTACTATGCTTCTATACCCTCTCATTATTCACTTACTGTTTGAGATATAACTTGCATAATATAGACCAGAATAACAGATCAAACCAGAGATTAGTTCTAGCTCACCTGTATTAGTAAGTGTGATTTGTATCTGCATCACTGTGTTAACAGACCTGGAGATTTGTTTAGTTACCAACTCCAATGTATCCAATTTTGTATTGATCTGGTGATCATCCAAATAATTGATTGACGAATCACGAGGCAAGCGACTCGCATTTGGGTGTTTTATTTGATTTAGTAATAAAGTCCATGAATATTTTACATTTTATGTTACTTGACCAAAAACATTTTATGTCTAAATAAAACAATAAGTGTTAGTCATTGACATATATATATATATATATATATTTATATATATATATATATATATATATAAAAAATAAAAATAAAAACAACCCCCCCAAAAAAAACAACAGAGCAGGGCATGCAAGTATATAACTCCATTTATGTATTTTTGTTGTTATTTTTTTCTTTTTAACTAGCTTATTGACCTGCACCTTTCACTTTCAGGCACACCTTCTGCTATTTATGACACCCCCCTCACCTGCCCCCCTTCTCTAACATCAGTTGTTTTAAGTGTTATGCTCTAACAGATTGATCAGTATTGCTTCAGACCTAAGGCAGAGAGGAAAACTCTCGAAAGCGTGTCCTTGAAATATTATGTTAGTCCAATAAAAAAGGTATCATTGCATACTGCAATACTCTGGTATTTTGGCATCTTGTCTACTGGACTAATATGGCTAATCCAATCTACACTATGTATTTAACTGAAATTCTGGTCTTTCCTCCCTCAAGTGTTGTTACTCCTGTTTCTGTCTCCCTCCAAGTCAACGGTGCTACCATCAACTCCACCACGCAGACTCGCTGCCTAGGTGTTCTCTTTGACTACGACCTCTCCTTCAAGCCTCATGTTCAATCTATCGCCAAATCCTGTCATTTCCATCTCAAAAACATCGCGCCATACGCCCATACTTAACACCAGATGCGACTAAGGTGTTGGTCCATTCCACTGTCCTTTCTCGCCTTGACTACTGTAATCCGCTTCTCAGTGGTCTTACGTGCTCCCAACTAGCGCCGTTACAGTCCATAATGAATGCGGCGGCGAGGCTGATCTTCCTGTTCGCCCGCACCTCCCATGCCTCACCCTTCTGTCAGTCCCTACATTGGCTTCCTATAAAATATAGAGCTCAATTTAAAATTCTGGTTCTTGCTTTCAAATCTCTACATAATGCAATGCAGCTCCCAACTATCTATCCTCCCTTATACACAAGTATGTCCCGTCTAGGCCCTTACGATCTGCTGAAGACTTACGTTTATCTTCTGTCTGTACTCCCACCTCTGATGATCGCCTTCAAGATTTCTCGAGGGCTGCACCGTTCCTGTGGAACTCGCTTCCCTCCTCCGTTAGATGCTCACCCAGTCTCCACTCCTTCAAAAAATCATTAGAAACCCACTTCTTCAGAAAAGCGTATGAATTAAACTGTTAATAGCTCCTGAATGATTCCTCTTCTGCAACTGTCACTAGTCTAATACTATCCTTACCTTTTTGTGTCATTTTACCCCACTCCCTCTAGCATGTAAGCTCATTGAGCAGGGCTCTCAACCCCTCTGTTCCTGTGTGTCCAACTTGTCTGGTTACAACTACATGCCTGTTCGTCCACCCATTGTAAAGCGCTGCGGAATTTGACGGCGCTCTATAAATATCATCATAATAATAATAATATAGTATACATACTATGTACATATAAAAAAACAGATACAATTTGTATCTTGTAATAAATTTTTTTTTTGGACTAACATAATTTTTTAAAGACAAGCTTTCAGGCGAACCTCCCTTTCTCAAGTCTAAAGCATTTCTGAACAAGACAACACATAGAATTCAAAATTGAGTGTGGCTTTAAAGTAGACTGTTACTTCCTGGTTGTATAGGTCAGTGGAGCTAAACTCAAGATTCAGCAATAGCCCACAGCACCTGCCTTGCAAAAACTTCTCATTGAGTTACATTGGGAAGTCTGTGATTGGACAACCACAGAAAGTCTGGGATGGGTTAGAAGGGGAGGGCTTGCAAAGGCTACAGACAAGAGATCTACAGTTTTTTCCAATCTGTTTTCAGAATATGTATAAACTTGTATAAGTTGTACTAACTTGTACTAAAACAGTATTTTTATTTACTTTGTATTTGGGTAAGTGAAGTGTCCCTTTAATTTCTACAATTTTTATTATTTGGCAATTTATATTACACATTGAATATAATTTTACTATTTGCTTGATTCATACCAAAAAATTATTTTACATTATTTCCATTTTTTGTTAGCGTTAACATAACATTATTCACATATAAACGCATTTGAAATTATTCATAATTTCAACAAATTTGCTGCATCTTGCTTGACTTTTTTATAGTCAACGCCAGCTGGATAATAACTCTCTAAGGAGTGAACATGAGCATTGTAGTTTCACGCAATCATTTCTGTAGATGCTTAGTACTTTATGAATAAAATGTAAAAAATGATAGCTAATTTTATCATATTATCTGTAAGATTGTTTTTTAGTTTATATTAATAATAATAGCTCTCAGCTATTCAAGCTTTCTTACACTAATCTTGTTAAACTGGAACAACTAACAATAATATAATTTTTCCTTTCATCGTATTCTGCGATCCATGCACTCTTGCTGGGTCTTGCCGAATTTTAGATCTGATAAAGCAAATGATGTCACACTCCAGTCCTTGAAGGTTGCACGTACACCAGAATTTAAGTATAGTGCCTAGTCAATACAAGCCCTTTACAAAAAATGCTTCTTCTCATTGTGTTCAGATAAAAGATGAGTAATTGGGCATACATACTAGTTGTCTACATTATTCTGTGATAGTCAATGTTACTTGTTAAATTACACGCCTATTGACCACACAATAAACTTCAATCAGGATTTCTGAGTTAATGAACATTTGTACAATGCTAAATTATAGTATTTCATCAACAGGTGAGATCTGAGGTGGGTTTTAAATAACAAGTCCATGTGTTGATGAATGTGTAGTGCATAGCCAGAAGCATGAAGAGGTCTTTCCCTTAATGGTCCATTTTTGAGAGAGTTTGAAGATATATTTCCCCGAATATGTAGACAATTGTAAATATTTGTTTATTAACGCACACATGTATGTTGTTTGTAATTGGGTCCTTTTCTAACAAAGACTATTTGTAACCAGTACTTCTAACCCGCCACTTCTTGGCTCCAATACCAGCAAATTGGGCTTGCTTTGAATATTCTACTTCATTTTTTCCATTATAACTAAGAGGTCCCTTACCTGGAAGCCTAACCATTAAACCCAGACAAGTGCATTATTATTTTTTTTTCCACCAAATATTACCTTTTGCTCTATTGAGTCAGGCAAGTGACGGAATGCCAAATGCAGAGCTGTACAATAGATTGCGATGAGAGGAACGGTAGTTCACCAGATCAACCACCAGAGAATACTTTTCCACCATTCCAGAGTCCAAAAATTAGACCTTGTGCCTTGTATCACTCAAGTCAACACTCATCACTGTGCTTTAGCTGCTCTGCTAGGGATTCATGTAAATAAACGAGAAAGCCATGTCCTGAAGCTCCCAATGTGCAGTTTGTATGGTGATATTTATGTGTAGTGTAAAATTAGAAATGTTATGACTAAAATTTTGGAATAAGCTAATCTTATCCAGAAAGAATTATTTAATCACATAAAATGTTGTCCTGTTCACTTTTCTCAGCAAACTATTGCAAGGTTATTTACAAAACTGAGAATTCAAAGGGAATGTCAGATTTAAGGTCATAATAGAATCTGAATACTCGCTTTTGTGAATAACCCTGTAAGTGTCTTGGCACCAGGATCAATGCTCTTTACTCTTTTACTGAGTTTTGTGATTGTTTATAGTTCAGCTTCATTGGCCTCCATTTTGCAATTTGTTTGGCAACCTACAAGTGCTTTATTAACTAGACCTCTTCAGAAAAAGAACACTACAAAGAATACCACAATGATTCTCACTGAGAATATAAACTGATGCCAGATAGTATATCTTTATAAACATGTCACTCTTCTTTAAAGGGATAGTGTGAGCACTAGAAGCAGTATAGCGTGCCGTAGTTGTTATAGTGCCAGGAGTCCCCTGAAGCCATTTGATATTACAGGACCAACCTTTTTTTAAACAGTTTGAAACTATCTCAGATGCCATTGGTCCTTCTGATCTTCTGCGATATTGCTAAAGAGGAAGTTCACATTGCACTTTAGCAATTTGAATTTTGTCTATCTTTGAACATCATTCATTGGCTAAAAGTGTCAGCTGATTCTCGCAGCCAAGTAATTCAGGAATTGATTCATTGGCTGTAGTGGTTCCGGTGCTTAGTGCATAGAGTGCCCCTTTAACAAACAGTAAATGTTATATGCAGCTTAACAACCAGGTATAGAATACAAAGTGATAGCTCTGTCATTGTACTTTTGCTGTTTCTTCAAAAAATACATCACGAATTGATGTGGTTAGTTGGCACTCAGGTTACACCGAAATAGTTGAGTTTGACAACTAATCTATGGTCCTATCTTAGCTAGTTTAGCCTGAATCTTACTTAAATTTACAGTTTATTGTGTTAAAGGAGTAAACCTCTACGGTTAACTGTTCAGTTAATGTGAACTACATCTCCTCTGGTTCTAAGACAGCATTTTGTCAGCCATCATCTTTAAATAAATGATAATGTGTAAAGTAGCTTAATTACAGATAGTATGCTCTTGTTTAGATAAAGAGTAGGATAGACAGGCTTTATCTATGCACACATGCTGCTTGCTACGTTAATCTATCACCTTTTACAATTATCCACTAATGTGACAAAGAAAAAGTGTTATTACTTAATATATTCTGTTTCGGATTTTTAGTCTCTATGCTTCTTAATGACTTGTTTATACAATAAATTAAATGACTTTTTTATACAATAAATCTGAGTTAAAATTGAACCTACAGAAACATTCCATGATTTTCCGGCTTATATCGCTGGTACATGTGGCTCTCAAGGCTGTTATTTATTAGGGTTTTTTTTATACTTTAACAGACGTTCTACCATTTGATGTTTTGTTACTATATTGTTTTGTGTCTGAGGAAGGAAAACTCCCCCAAAAATGTTGTGCTGTGATACTAAATGTAGTAAAACAATGCCATGAATAATGCGTTGGTGATTCTGATACCTTTCGTTTTGCTGTGATAAAACATACTTCAATAGCACTATGAAGATCTGTTATGCATTTTATTTGAAATTTACTATTTGAAGACGATTCCCAGTAAATGCCAGGAACAGTCATAGATAAAGCAGGTTAAGGGGTGCAGCTGTGGCCGAGAGTCATGTCGGCTTCTATTAGGCTTGCAGTCTGTGTTGTTGGTAAGGAAACCGGGAGCTCTTGCCTCCCCTGAATCCATGGCCAGCTGCATTGTTCTATTTCCCAAATATTAAAATAACTCTAGAAGGATATTTGTTAGTTTTACAGAGTGAAACTGGGGTTAGGCCAAGAAACATTTTTAGGTGATTTGATGCCGTATCGATAACATTTAAAATAATACTGCCTTTTAAAAACATATGAAGGTCAGTTTTATTACTTTGTAGCTCTGATATACACTCACACACACCACTCATTCCAGTCAGTATAATTATTCTGGAACTTTCTGATACATTCATGTTTGTGATACATTACAGTTAGTTTAAATTCTGAGGAGCTCTGCGATGCACTCATACACATCTCTTATTATAGTCCGTATTATTGCTGTGGAGCTCTGTGATACAGTCATACACACCTCTTATTATAGTCCGTATTATTGCTGTGGAGCTCTGTGATACACTCATACACACCTCTTATTATAGTCTGTATTATTGCTGTGGAGCTCTGTGATACACTCATACACACCTCTTATTATAGTCCGTTTTATTGCTGTGGAGCTCTGTGATACACTCATACACACCTCTTATTATAGTCCGTATTATTGCTGTGGAGCTCTGTGATACACTCATACACACCTCTTATTATAGTCCGTATTATTGCTGTGGAGCTCTGTGATACACTCATACACATCTCTTACTATAGTCCGTTTTATTGCTGTGGAGCTCTGTGATACACCCCATACAAACCCCCCATTACAGTCAGCTCCCAGAAAAGAAAATCTTTGATACATGCATTTTAAACCAACTTAAATTTGATCACATGTTATGTAATATGATGTATTGATTTAATATACTTAACATCATTCTTTTGTACTTTCTTTTACAGGTATTTGGCAATTGTTCATCCATTAAAGCCGAGAATGAATTACCAAACTGCTTCATTCCTGATTGCCATGGTTTGGATCACCTCTTTACTAGTAGCCATACCTTCAGCTTATTTTGCTACAGAATCTGTACTTTTTATTGTAAAGAATCAAAAAAAGATTTTCTGTGGCCAAATCTGGCCGGTCGATCAGCAGGTTTATTACAAGTCTTACTTCCTCTTTATTTTTGGCATTGAGTTTGTTGGTCCCGTCGTAACAATGACTTTGTGCTATGCCAGAATATCGAGAGAACTTTGGTTCAAGACTGTTCCTGGCTTTCAGACGGATCAGATCCGAAAACGCCTCCGGTGTCGCAGGAAGACTGTCTTGGTGCTGATGTGCATTCTCATTGCTTATGTTCTATGTTGGGCTCCATTTTATGGCTTTGCCATTGTTAGAGACTTTTTCCCAACTGTGTTTGTGAAGGAGAAACATTATCTTTCAGCTTTTTACATCGTAGAATGTATTGCCATGAGCAACAGCATGATCAACACAATGTGCTTTGTGACTGTTAAAAATAATACTATAAAGTATTTTAAGAAAATTATGCTGCTAAGATGGAAGTCTACGTACAATGAAAGTAGATGCAGTGGAGAGTTAGACCCCAAGTCCAGCGCGGTGCCAGTTACGGAGGAGGTAGATTGCATTAAACTGAAGTAATTAATGTAGTGTGTTTGCTATAATTATATTGCCTGTGTTACAATGTTACAATTAATACTTTTAAAGGTACAAGGATTGTTATTACAGCTATTATTGCATTCTTTGTGTTTGGTACATATATTCTAAATTGCATTTATTTTGTGAAAATAAAAATGACTTACCAAACAGCTTTTTATTTATAAAAATAACAGCCAGAAATAGATTGTATTATTTTTTTTATTTTTTTTTTAATCACTTGTGCAGCAATTTTTTCACAAAATCATCTTATGCGAAAATAAAAAAGTTTTGATCTAATATTAAAGACAGTATGTACACATATGTTTAAAAACAGACTATACACTGATCATCTTCACATTCTATTATATACTTTGATATAATTTAAGATGCAATTATTTTTTTAATTTAAGAAGTGAGGTGTATTGTAATGTTTCAGTAAATCTGCATAATCTTTATTTACACAAAGTAACCCATTATTAATGACTGAAAGAAAAAAAATATATATTAAAATGTGTCTCCCTTTCTAATTTTTTTGAATATTTTAGTTTTGATTGTTTTTTATTTTATATTTTTTATTAAATAGTGTGATGTGTTTGCTTGTAACAATGTAAAAATTAATTATGATGTTATATAATAAAATTGTCAGGCTATTGTTGAAACACTAGCCTTCTGATAATAAAGATTAAATTGCTTAATTGTTATTTGATGTTTGCTTTAAAATATAGACTCGTCCTTGAATACTTCACAGCAATATCCGCAACAACATACGCGACCATAAAACCTCTTAAAGCACATTTTCTCCATTAACTTATTGTAAATTAATGTTTTATAGATTTGTATTATATGGAGAATTATATAATCACATTATTATTTTAAACTATGAGGTTATTAGTAAGGGATATAATCACTGAACAACCTATTTTGATATGTTGAGAAATTTAGGCTAAAAAGACAAGTTGGATAAGATCCTTTAAGTCAGGCTGTTTTGAGACTTTTTTCTGTACTTGAAATTGGTCTATATTTATTTGTTATTGTTTTTTTGTTTTGTTCTCACACAACATTCTGGGATCTGTCCATTATGGTGTGACATAAGCAACTGTTTACAAAGGTGTCTAAGGTCGGTTGCAATAGGCAATTTCAGTCTTTTTTCCATTCTTGTCTCTGTTTTTTACAGACCAGCTACTTCTCGCTAAGGTACCCGTCACTTAACTCACAGTTAGTGCGTAGTAGCTGTTTAGCAACAGCAAAGCATCACAAGTAGTGATTATGTGATTACTGGCTACTATTACAGAAAGCCTACGGTCTATGGTCTACGTGAGCTGTTACCTCTAGTTAGTGATTAGTTTTATAATTGGTTTCCAGTCCTTTTACTAGTCATTAAAACAAAAAAAACAGATAAAAAGAAGTCTGAATCCTAGAATATTATGTGTTAACTATAAACAGGAGCAATACAAAACACTATCTAGTAATCTGTTCATAAGCAAGACAATGAAAAATGCAAGAGGTCATCCATTGAGACATGAAAAAAATGTTTTTTCAAATATTGCAGGGAAAGGGTTATGTGCAGTAAAAATAATAAAGATGGGGAATTCTCTACCCAAAGAGATAATTTTATCAGATTCTGTAGCTAATAAAAAAAAATGAAAAACAACACACAAAAAAATAATAATATATATATCTTTTTATTTGGGGGTAGAGCAAAATATTGAAAGATATGATCAATATGCATAGGACAATGTTGTAGCTTGGCTGTTTTTCTCTACATTTAGCATTTTGCTCTTCAATTTATCTCTTTTTTTTATTTTTTGTCTTTTCCGAGGAGTTTCAAGTCGACTTGTGGACATATCTGCTTCAGATGTGTCGAAAAATCAAACTCCTGTTATTCCACGCATGAACGAATTTACCTGTAAAGTCTGTGCTATAAGTAAATTCCAGATGGGTCAATTCGTTTAGGGCGTAGATTAACAGAATCTTGGTTTGTTTCACACAGCTGAAATGGATTTGCTCACAAGTCCACTTTCAAGTTTCTTTGCTATTTCCTTCACATTATTAGGATAATTAATCAGAATTACACAATTTCTACATTTTCTAGACTGATATTGCCATTACTTGATGGTGAAAATCAAATGATAAAAGATGAGTGGCTTCATCTAAATAAATGCCATATTAATTCATAATGTCATGATGTAGATTTGCTAATTACTAACAATAAAATATAGGAATGCTGGATACATATTACTGTGTATAATTTTTCTGCCATTCCAGTTGTGTCTTTTCAGTTTTATGCCTACGGATGCAATCAGTGTGATTCTTCGAGATTTATCTTATGTTTCACCCCAGGTGATGCAGTATATGAGCTAATGGCATGGCTGCACTCAAAAGTAGCTCAGAATACATGTCCAGTATAGGAAGAATGCAATAGAAACCCTTACAAGACAGCGAATACGTGTTGTTTTGCAAACTGCTGTCCTTAGTCTGAAATAAAAATAAAGTATAAAGTTTTTAATTTTAGACAGGAAATAAAAAACAAGTAAAACTAATTAGTTTTTAAAGACAGTTCAAATAGAGCTAATAATGTAATAATGTAATAATGTGTTATAAACAAAGCTGTAAATTGATCCAAACAGCTGCACACAATGGGAACATGCATTGGAGCAGTGTGGTAACATGACAGTGATTTAATATTTGTATCATCGGTAACGTGATGTCTGAAAAGGATCGTGTTATCCAAGTGCCCTAAACTGTTGGGTTGACAGGCAAACCTGCTAGCTTGTCATTTAGCAGAGTGCTGATAGATATTTTTCTCATATAGGTAGAAATTCCATGAAAGACCCTTACAAATCTGTACGCATCTCAGAAACAGCAGGGATAATAACCAATCGCTAAAACACTGACGTATTGAACTGGTGCATATGTTTACGGTCTCTCTGTCTGTGGATCTATTTAAGACGTATTTAGATACACAAATTCATTTTATTTAGACTTAAACATTATAATATATTGTATGTTTATTAAGTGAGGGGGGATCTTCCTATCTTTGCTTAGCTAAATGTTACCCCTCTTTCTAATGAGAAATAGTGGATAGAAAGGAGATAGGAAGGAAAATAAATATATTCCCGCCCACCCTGGTTCCTTCTAACTATATAACATGACTCCTCCAGCTGTTCCCAACCACAGTCAATCACCTCCTCATTCCCTTCACATGTTATTAATCACTGCAGTCACACTATAAATTCTCTCTGCCATTACTTGCAATTTCCTCCGCTACCTCTTGTATCATTTCCCTATTTTACCTTTAGATTGTAAGCTCACGGGCCGGGCCATCTACCTTGTATCGGTCTGTTTATATTGTATTGTTTTCCCAATTGTACAGTGCTGAAGAATATGTTGGTGTTTTATAAATTACAATAATAAATAAATAAGTATATATACAGTCATGGACAGGGCCAGCCCAAGACATTGTGCTGCCTGTGCTTCATCCACCAAAACCACATGCACATCCATTATGTTATACAGTGTGTGTAGTGAATGCAGTGTCGTGTAGGGGATGTAGTGTGTGTATTGTATGCAGTGCGTGTAGTGAATCCATTGTGTGCATGTGTATAGTGGATGCGGAGTGTGTGTTTGTGTAGTGAATGCAGTGTCTGTGTGTACTGGATGCAGTGTGTAGTGAATGCAGTGTTTGTGTGTACTGGATGCAGTGTGTGTAGTGAATGCAGTGTTTGTGTGTACTGGATGCAGTGTGTGTAGTGAATGCATTGTCTGTGTGTACTGAATGCAGTGTGTGTAGTGAATGCAGTGTTTGTGTGTACTGGATGCAGTGTGTGTAGTGAATGCAGTGTCTGTGTGTAGTGGATGCAGTGTGTGTAGTGAATGCAGTGTTTGTGTGTACTGGATGCTGTGTGTGTAGTGAATGCAGTGTCTGTGTGTAGTGGATGCAGTGTGTGTAGTGAATGCAGTGTTTGTGTGTACTGGATGCAGTGTGTGTAGTGATTGCAGTGTCTGTGTGTAGTGAATGCAGTGTGTGTAGTGAATTTTAGACAATTTAGACAAAAATATTCTGAGCAATTATTTTCAAGTTGCTTCAAAACATTATGGTATTTATACAGCACTATAAAACAAGTTATTCCAATGTATTCTAGTATGAATCTATAAATCTATAATTACATGACATTTACACAATAATACCTAACAATACACTATTATCTTGAGAAGAGCTGTACCCTAAAGGCACAACCGTTACAAGAGCATAAAATACATATACAACAAATAAAACATGGAGACATCCAGAGAGAACAGAGAAAGCGGACAATTCCAACTACGCTTCTTCTTCAAACCAACATTTAAACAACACACAACATACACACTGTCATCCCACGTACACAGGCAGCCATACACAGCCAAGACAAAGACGCAGCCAGCCATGCAGCCAGCCATATCACACACAGCTACAACACTTACAGCCCTTCACACCTAAACACATGTATTCACCCTTGTTGCACACAGTGTCATCCCTTCCATACTCCAAGCACTCTACGTACTACAGCATGCTGGTGCCCTCTCAGAGTAAGTAGTCAAACCATTTAAGAGTACTTTGGCATCCTACCTGGGTCCTGCTAGGCACCTGCTGCTGCCTCCCTTGCTGTCCAAAATTAGACCAGTAATGGAAGGCTGCTCTCACTGGCAGAGATCATTTTTAAAGGTTTCGACTAACTAGTCTGGAAGAAACACCAAGGCACTCCTGGCACTACAACCACTACTGTGAGCTGTAGTGGCTATGGTGCTTGGAGTGTCCCTTAAAAATATCCACCTTATATATAGAAAGAAAGAAAGAAAGAAAGAAAGAAAGAAAGAAAGAAAAAAGGGAAACGCATCCCCAATGAAATGTGCTGCTAACTTCTACGATTTTTGCCTTTTTTTGTATGTTCTATACACACTTCTTTGTAAGTTATTCTAGTCTGTGTTACATTTTCCTGCACTTCACTGTCTGATAAAACACGTACAAAGCAAATGATCAAAGTGGGAGAAGATGCAAGGAGGGCTGTCCTGTAATTAAGGATTATATTATGTTATCATTGCAATCATATGTTGCCATATCACAACTGTATTCACCGATATAAGTTAATACCAAACA